ATCCTAGGGAAAGAAAGCAACCATGAACACTGAGAGTGAGGCAAATGCAAATTTGATAGACCACACAGATTTGTTCCAGGTTTAATGATTTTAGAAGACCATGTAAAAAGCTGATATAGTATTTTTGTCTTGTGAGCCCCCCTTAGAGCCTCTGCATTCAAACAGATAATGTGGGATAAACATATCAGGAAAAAAAGGCTCAATTCCAGATTTCCATCTTAAAAAGGATGGAAAAGGCAGGAAGGTCATTTCTATTTTATCTCGTGTATATTATTTATTGCTGAAGAGCTTAAGAAAAAACAGAAAGACAGTGGGTGGGTTGGGGGTGAGAGGCAGAAGGGCTTCACTTGTTTTTAGTGCCTACAGGGTACTAGTTACTGCATTAATATTTTGCATGCATGTTATCCTTTATCCTGAAATTACAAGGCTGATAAAGAGCTTGAATGATTCCATAAGCTATGTACTAGCAATAACAATCTAGATGTGACATTAGCCATGAAAGCCTTTATGATTCTAACATTTAACATCCAGGGCAGGTCCTGTGTGGCCAATTAACAACTGAGGTCATTCTGACACCATGTAGGCAAGCACATTCTCACAGCTCATTGGGATTATCCTAGGTCATATATGCTCTCTCACACCATGCATTAAATCTTTGCAAAAGCACATAATTTCCACCTTGGAAACCTTCACATTTATTTAAGATCAAAACAGTAATGATGCCTCTCTCGAGGTAGCCAATCTTAAACCATCTTCAGTCTTACTAGTGCATTTCCTACTACGGGGGTAGAATTTTTACTGTTATGTAGAATTTTCTGTAGAATTTTTTGTTATGTAACATTAGATATCAGGTTAAGAATTTAATCACACAGAGTTTAAAGGCTGGCTAGAACAGCAGAGTTTATGTTAAGACGTTGAGCACAGTGGAGCATTTTCAGAGGGAGGGAAAGGCCGACCTCTGGAAGCTGAACACAGCAAAAAAGGGATGCAAGTAGTATATAAGTCAAGGAAAAGCCTTTAACCTAACCACCCAGGAGTATTTTCCCAGATACAAAAGCATAACACAATATTGTGTTTCAACTGGGTTGTAGAAATCTGTGAGAATTTGTGTTCCAACTTGATGCAATGGGAGATGGGAATAGAAATTTGAGGAATTATAACAAGGCAAGAATTGTCTTCAGTCTCTTTTAACACCAATGTGGTCCTTAATTTTTCATGTCAGTTCATGCTAAAAATAACAAAAGTGTAGAAAATAAAAATAAGATTTGGGAATGCAGCAAAGTCTAATTGTATCCCTGAGAACCAGCAGTACCAGTAATAACGCAGAGAGATGCATACATTGGAAAGGTGGAAACAAAGTCCACCATTACAACGTGCAAAGTCCAAGTGGGTGGAGGTGAGAGGGGAGAAACAAACTCATCATGAAGATGTTAATTTGGTGGCTATGCTGGGGAGGTTTCATTTTATTCTATTTAATTTAATTATTTTTACTTAAATTTTGGAGAAGAAGATGAAAAAAAATTGAAAAAAATCTGCTCTCTGAATGATGGACTCTTAGGGGTGGGAGAGATCCAGGAGGAATCAATCCTCTAACTCATGACGTGGCAACACCGGCATTCTTTCTCCAGGAGTGCTGACAAATGGCCACCTCCTGCCTGGGCACTTCTAGGGACTGTCACATAACTGTAGTTATTAGAAAAGTCCTCCAGACACTGAGTTACAATTTTTCTTCCCCTCACTTCCTAATATTAATCTTCATTCTGTCTTCTGGAGCTACACAGAATAATCACAATCCTTCTTTTCTAGGGGAACAACCCAAACAACCTTAGAGAGAGAAGTCAGGGCAAAATAGCAAAGTGATGGAACTGTCAGTTAACAAGAAGGATTGCGAGGTAGTTTCTCAGATGGGTCTAACCGTGAGAGGGAGAGCTGGGAAAGGTGCCTGATGGGAGAAGAGGAAGCTGAAGGCCGAGTCAGTTTCCAAATAAAGAGAAATTACAATAAAACACACAAGCAAAGTGGTGGTCTCATAAATATAAATTGGAAGAAAAGAAGCTATTGGTAACATGAAGGATGTAGAAAAAAGAAAAAAGTACTTATATTTCAATTGCAGAGACAGGAAAATACATAATAAGCATAATGAATACAATGCATTGAAGCTAAGATCAAGCTACCATACACCATTGTCATTAAATGATTCGTTGATAAGTGTTCTACTTCTAAGTTTTGGAATAATGAGAAGATAGCCTACACTGCATTCAAGCTTCATCCTGGAGAAGAAAACAAATGAGGAGAAACCAGGTGACATTATATGCATCTCCAGGATAAAAAGTGAACTATGATCCCCACCTCATGGCATTCACACCTTTGTGTAAGTAAGTAATCCCCTATTCCTTGAATGTGGCAGGGACTTGTGACTTTTTTCTAATCAATAGGATACAGCAAAGTAAATGAGAGGTACGTGATTATGTAAGTTGCTATGCCTGTCTTGCTGGAGGAGTCACTTTAGTGTATTGGCTTTGAAGAAAAGCAAGCTGCCACAGTGTGAGCTGTGTTTGGAGAGAACCATGGAGCAAAATGAGGCTGGCCTCCAACATCCAGCCAGCAAGGAACGGAGACCCTCAGTTCAGTAGCCCACGGCCACCGAATGCTGTGTACAACCACATGAGAAAGCAAGGGAATCCTTCCTGACCTGAGTCTCAGAGGAGACCACAGCCCAGCTGGTACTTTGATTGCTGCCTTGCAGAGAAGCCAGCTAAGCCACGTCTGGATTCCTGACCTGAAGAATTTGTGAGGTAATACATGTATGTTGTTTCAGCTTCTAAGTTTGTTGCAATACTGTCACATAGTAATGGATAAATGATAAATGATACTGCCAGCTCAATACTCTTCAGGCAAAGGAGTCACAGGAGAAGTAGGTAATTATTGACAACTGGACTATTATTTTCTCAAGCAGACAGTTGTACCTTAACCTGGACCAGATTAATCTAGACTTTTACAGGAACTTTTAGATAGGTCTTCATACATTAATACCAAAGATATGACTTATAAATGCATATCGTTGTGTTTATTTAGCACATAGAATTTAGAAGTGCCCTGTGAACGTGGGGAAATACTGTGGACTATCTTGGATAATTTTGGATAATTCTCCAACAAAGCAGGAGTACTGATGCTTACAAAGGAGTCAGAAGCCTGACCGGAGGGTGAGTCTTATTACAGAAAATAGAAGGGAGAAGAGGAGAAAGGTAGATTATCAAATAATTAAGTTGTAAGTTATCTAATGTTAATAAATATTTATAGAATAGTTTAATAGTGAAATTTTGTGTAAGTTTATAAATGTGCATGGACAATATGTATTCACCTTTTATGATTAAAAACTATGTGCATGAACATACTTTAAATGCTTATGGACTTGCTTGATTGTGAGTTAACATATTTCCTAGAATTTGCCACTTTAGGTATGACTGAGGTCCCTGATTCCTGATTTCTTTTTCCTTTTTTCCTGGAGTTTTCCTCCCTTTGGGTTATTTTACTGGACTCGAGTCTGGGTCTATTTATGTTATTAGATCATTATAATCCCCATGTTCAATATGACAAGCATTACTCTGCCCATTCCAATTAATGACGAGATGCATTACTGCCTCCCATGAGGCACTACCGTTTTCACAAAAGAATAAAAGGATTCAGGAGCTCTCTGTTTATTGCCTCTTTTTTATTAAGTTTTGAAATCCAGCTGGTTGGGAAGATTTCTGCTCTTTTTACCAAGCCTCAAAGGACTGGAAAAGAAGTGGGCAGTAAAAATGAAATCTTTTCTTCCTGTATGGAGATTAGAAACAGCTTGTCTATCAACTGTAGGGTTTTTTTTTTTTTTTTCATATAAGCTTCAGAGTAGAGAAAATAAGTTAAAAAGAAGTTGAGTTGCAGTTCCTTCTTATCTTACACCCATGACCATGGAAACCTCAAAAGAACTGGTGAACAAAAAAGGATAACTCTTTATTAAAGCAATAATTTCAGGAAGTCTAAATAAAGGATAACAAACAATATTTAGCTTTGCTACTGTCTTTTCTTAACCTGTGGAAATTATTATTGGTAAAAAATCATCACAAATTGAGGTAAAACCATAATTCATCAAGTTCATACTATAGTCTAATGTGTGCTCGCATAATGATCTGCATTAATGCATCCTTCTTTGAAGTGCAGACCACTGAACTTTTACCTGTAAGTTTATATTTCTATGGATATCCCATGTGTGATTTTAAACATCAAATATGTCCTGCTGCAGCTCCGTCTCTGAATCTCAGCCCCAATTTTAATAAAAGGTTTACTTGTTCTCTTGTGACTCAGGCACTCCTTTGAATGTATGTCCTAGGAACTCAGTCCCTTTCTTGATTCCTTTCACCTCCCTGCCTGTCAAGTTCCCATCTTAAATCTTCTGGAAAAGCAATTTTCCCTGTTGGCCCCCAGAGGACATTTTAAGCCTGGAATCCTAACTTTGAACTCTGATGCATGCTGAGTCCCAATCCTCACTGCTGGTTCTTGCCAACAGTTTCTGTCCTGCCTGTGCCATCTCCTTATCATCAGCTATTAGGCCACTAATCATCTGCCCCTGGTCTTCTCTCTGGTAAAGCTCATCCTAGATTAGCCATCCAGGAAATCACCAAGCTTCTAGGGTGTAGAACATTCACACTTCATAAGTTATTCTGAGAATAAAAGCAAAAGAGCAATTCATTTTATAATATTAGCCAAAGCTTATTAATCCCCAATACTTTCAGTTTTACCAGATAAATTATTTTAGATAACGAGTGCTTCACAGAACTTAAACTGTCCTTCATTGAGAAGAAGCAGGATGTGGTAGCAAATCCAATGGCTTTGGAGTCAGAACCGGATTTCAATCTAGGCTTTGTCATTTACTGCAAGATCTTGGCTTGATCATACTTTTTTTC